TTACAACATTCTTTACATAGAAGAACTATATTTGCTCTGCCCAGAATATTTGCTTAAAAAAATAAAGAAAGAAAAAAAGATACCAGGTGAAGCAGAAAGCCTGGTAATTGCAACTTGTATTCTCCTGAGTGTTTGCTACTTGGATTAAAAAGAGCGTGGTGGACATGGCTCTCTAATTGTTCTTTAATCACTGAATGCTAGTAAAGTTGTGCCAAATGCACAGGACAAATGCCCTGTTCCATAACCCAAACAGATCGACTGGCCAGGCAGCCAGTTGGCAAGAAAGCTCAGGCTTTGCTGTGTGCTATAAAAGCTCATTTCCCAACTCACTGAATGGATGTTGGATGATGTACAAAACCTGGCTGATGTTCATGCTGTAACTGCTGCCTTTTTTCAGGCTACTTACAAGAAGCAATTAAACTGCAGTATAAAGTAGGGAAATAATAAGAACCTATAGAATATACAGGACACTTAAAAACTACTAAATAACATTGGTTGATGGGAGAGATGCAGAAAACCACCAACTTTGTATTGGTTGGAGTAATAGGAATGGAATAGAAACTGCAGAGAAACAGAAGAACCCAAAGAAAATAGGAAAGAAAGAGTCAGAGAGCCTCAGGCAGGCTCCCATCTTGACCCTGAACAAACCCTGAAAGGCTGAATGCTGGCTAGAGAGAAAGACTTGCAAATGAGTGACAAAACAGTGTCCTAATCCCCTGCTTCTGTTTTACAGCATCAAACAAGTTTGGCTTGCATGTTTCAAGCAGCACTTAGTTTCCTGGTGTTGCTAATGTGGAAACAAAGAAATTACAAGGATTGTGTAGAGGTAAGAGACTGTGGGATGAAAAATGATTTTGTCAACACATAAACCTGGAAGGAACTGCCTAATCTTTCTGCCTACAAGGAAGCTGAACCTGTTGTAGCTGCACTACACTGCAATTTTTATCTTTTAAGATGCTCTCTACAGACTAGTTAAGGACTCTGTTTTGGTGTTATCCTGCCCTTTTAACTACAGTAACAATTATTTCATGTCCAAGCAGCAAAAATACCTTCTGTGAGAACCACTGGACAGTAAGATCACTGTGGTGTAAAATTCATCTGTGGTCTTTGGAACTTAAGTATTCAGTTGTTAAAAACCGTGTATCTCCTCAGAGGAGCAGGTGGGTGCTTTATAAACCTGAATGCATCAGTAATAAATACTATCAGGAAATGTTTACAGAGGAATACGTGCTGTACAAAGCTGTGGATAGAAGTGCATTCCAGTAGTTTGCCATGTCAGCCTTTAGACACAGCTCACAGCTTTTATTCGTGATCAGAAGGACTGAGCAGAGGTGAAAGACCAAAAACCAGACCATGGTGCCCCTAAAGAAGACTGATTTCTGTTCATGTCCTTGCACAAACATCCTTTCTGGCCAGAGACACTGTTTAATCTTTGGAAACTCAGTACTACAGCTAAATACCCATTAAACCATGTTTTTCTCATTAGGAACAGCTGTATTTTTGTTTAACGCATTTGAAGCACTATTTTTGTTCCTTGTAGTATTTTTGTTTACAGTCCATAATGTTGTAAGTAAAAGGTCTCTGCTGCTGCCATGGGACATGTTTTTTTCCCTACTGCTGCAGGATAATTAAAAAAAAAAACCACCAAACAAGTTAGTGCTAAGATTTTCTTGACAGTGATAGCCCCTTAGCTGCTAAATCTGCTATCCCATCCATCACTGATCTCAACCAAAGCAAGTATTAGTTTCTCTGTGGCTTATCTAGGTCTTTAGTAGATCAATAGCACAGCTCAGATGTTTCAGACTCTTCCCTGTTAGTTCACATTTATCTTTTCATCCAAAGAAGGTAAATTACCTCACAGAGAAGCTGTGTTATCCCCAATAGCGGTTTATAATGTTGCAAAATCAGCATGACCCACATATCTTATCTCAGCTGGAATGCATTTGTCACTGTCTCATGTTATGATCATCTGGTAAAATGCCCTAGAAAAGAGGTAAGCCTGCAAAACAGCTTCACCATTTTCATTTAATGACCTTTTCTGCCGTGTGCTCCTGTACCACCTTCTATTTAAACTGCTTAAGTAAAGCAAAGGTTATTTTTCCCTTTAATGCTCCATTTAATCACTTTTATCATTAGCAAAACTGTTCATGCCTCGGCAGTCTTCTCTTCTGCTGTCATAAGTTGATCTGTATGTGGTGATATTTGAGTCTGAGAACTGAATCATTTATCAATATCCTATGTTAATGCTGAGAAAGGACTGCTGAGTTTAATCATACATTTGTACAGTTGGGTGCTGGTTACCTGAAGCTTGTCAGGACCTGGGAGTGTTTAATGCTGTTAGGAAAAAGAAGCAAGTCACCAACCACTAAACTGTAACCATGCTGCTGCCAGAAGAAATGCTCTATGAAACAGGAGTTTGATAGCAATTATGCAGCTGGGACTCATTCCTTTCCAAACTATAGTAAAGTGGATATTTCATTATCTGTTTTTCTAAAAACTTCATAAATTGTATTATGGAAAGAAACCTTAAACATAAACACACTTCTACAGAGTCTGATCCAGCTGGTTGCAAAAACTACGTTCTTATTGGTTGCAAAAACTACGTTCTTATTCAAGTAAGCTAAACAACTCTGGACTGAACTCTATTCTGCAAGTGTGAAATTCTTAGGTCTTTAACTGCAAAATTAGCTGGTGCCATCAAGGAGGTCTGCTTTCTGAAATGAAGAAAAGGAAGGTCTGCCTTCAACACACTGCTCGACTTCTTCCCAAATAGGAAGGTACAAGGGGGTCCCCTACCTGGAGCAGTGATCTGCTGTGATGGCACAGCTGGAAGGAACAGCAAAAGCAGATGCTTGTCCCCCAGGTGGAGGTAGCAACGGAGGTGACCTTGCTGAGGAGAACAGGATGTGCTTGGAGGCACAGGACAGAGGCACCTGCCCAGGTGCAGGTGCACTACCCATGTCCCCCCATATAACCTCGACAGGGGCGTGCAGCCAGTGCCTGGGGGACCACAGAGCACCCTCTGGGTGCTGTGGGGAGTGCACCAGGAAGTAAGCTGGGCTCCTGACAAGAGGCACAGTGTGAGTCTGAGCGGACAGTGATCACAAGCTGGAAATGGGGAAGTTCTGATGTGATGTAAGGAGTTAAAAAGTAGACGTTAAGACAGCCAAGCTTTAGGATAGGAGCCTGTAGCTCCTGGGGGAGGTCTCAAGAAGAGATGGGACCAGCAGTTTTATTTGAAATGGAAGAAATTACTATTTTCCATCTTCAAGTATTCAATGTAACAAAAGGAGCAGGGAAAGGATATATTGGGTGTTTCTCTGGAGTTTCTGGAGTGTTTTTCCCTCCCTGTTCTCACCATTGAACACTGTACTTGCCTTCCTTTGGAAATCTGCACACACAGTACTGAGCTCTCCCTGTGGCTTAATTTATGTTCAGGAAAACAATCACGGCATTAAGGGTGAAGAGTTTCTGAGCACTAACTGCCATAATGTATCGAGGACAGAGTAATTATCTGGTTTAAACACACTGCAGCTCATGTGAGATGCATAGGACAGAAAAGAACAATGAGGCACCAAGGCCTGGAAACATCAAAATATTTTTCCTTGGGGATCTGACTGGATATTAATGCCGTGTTTTGTCTGTTCTGTGGATGCACTGCTCGCAAAAACCCTTTACATGCAAATACAAGCCACCTCTTAATATTAAGAAAATACCTTTGTGAATGGTCTGTTTGCCTCTCATCTGTGTGTGTGTTTTCAAGCAATTTTACTCACACCTTTTTGTCCAAGAGCCTTGCTGTCCTGGAGCCTGAATCCAGGTATGCTTCTGTTCTCATTTTAGAGTGCTGCTGTTCCCAGCTGAGGACATCACATGAGCAAGGATGAGATTTTTTGCACCTGACGGTTATTTGCTGTTATTTCCAGAGGTAAAGGATCCTCATTCTGTTACTTTGTTGGCAAGAAAGAGACCTCCATTTATTTCCAGTGCGTCATGTTAGCTCTTCACTGAGGAGATGGGGCAGCAAACATATCTTTTGCACCTTTATCCTTTCACCCCATGAGACCTCCAAACCTTGAGCGCTGGAAGTCAGTGCTAGCACAGGGCAGTTAAAAGCTTCCTTCTTTCTAAGTAAGTCAGTACCTCAGAATCACTGGGGGATACTGGTAGAGAAAGTTCATGAGCTTTTTCTCTCTCATCTCTATCGGCTTCTTTTAGTTAAAGACATGGTCTCCTACAGTTTACTCCCCCACAACATTGTAGGAAAATCTTTGTCATGAAAAAGGCAAAAACCAGCTAAAGCTTCAGAAAGAATTCCGCTCATTTGGGAGATTTTATAGAAGACTAAGAATCAATTTAAAATAATGACTATTCTTATATATCTCGATATAGGTGTATCTAGTACAGAATTAGTAGAAACATGCACTTATTTTTACCCAGTTCTGAGAGGTGATGTTCTCTTAAGTTTTATTCATTTTATTTTATGAAATAGGTTAACATTACTGAATTTTGAATACTGCTTTGATTAAGCTTATGTGTATTTAGTTTCACATCACTAGGCAGAAAGGAAAACAACGGTGTGAAAAGTGGTAGAAGTGGGTGGGCAGGGTTTGGGGTTGGATCCCTCTGGGAGCAAAGCCATCCCAGAGCATACCACTGGAGCGAGCACTTGTGTGCGGTGTGAGGTGTAAGGGCTCGCTCAGTGACCGTCTTGTTCCAGGGAAGGTCACCGACATCCACCTTTTGCATGCCGCTGGCTGCCGGTTGCCCCCCCTCCTGGTTGGGATCCAGCACAGCAGTTGTGAGGGACAGAAACACTGAACCGAACGCTGCCCGCTACGAGCGGCGGTTACCGGTGAGCGCAGGCGGCGCCAGCAGCCCCTGACCGTTTACCTCAGCCCCGCGGGCGGCCCCCCTCCTGCCGCGGCTGCGCCCACCTGGTACGTGCTAGGGCCGGCCTGCCCTTTCCACCAATCAGCGCGGCGCCCTTCACCGGAAGTTAAAGTTGTTTCCCGCCCTTCCTCCCGGCCGCGCCGCTCGTTGCCATGACAGCGGCGGCGCTGGCGGGCGGCCGCCATGGTGGGTGTCGGGAAAGGGGAGCTGGGCCTAGGGCTGCTGCTGTTCAGTCCTGTGTCACCCACTCGGTCTTCTCGCCCGCAGGCTTTCGTGAAGCGGGATAAGGGGCGGGTGGAGGCCTCGATGGACGCGGAGGAGCGGATCGGGCGGCGGCGGGCTGTCAGGCTGTGGGCGGCTCTGGAGCAGGAGCGGCGAATGGAGGAGGCCCTGCGGCAGGTGAGGGGGACCGGGGCGCTGGGGTCGGCGCTCGGCGGAGGGCAGGGAGAGGTGGTGCCGTTGCCCTGGCAGGTCGCCTTCCGGCTGCGCAGTCCTGCATTTTGACTGCTGCTAGCTGTGGGTGCAGCTGCGGGGGAGAGGCGTTAACGGGGACTGTTTGTTCTGGTCAGGCCGAAGAGAGCAAAGCCCGGCGGGCGCTGCAGCTGGAGCAGGAGGAGAGGCTGGCGGCAGAGCTGGCGAGGTTGAACCACGAGAAACTTAAAGATGAGAGGATGAGGCAACAAATAAGACAGAACAGGTAACACTTTACAGAGCTCAGTGCTTTATTTAACTAGCTGCTGCTGTAAATCATTCTCAAGGCTGAAAAGTGTGCTTATGGAAACATGCAGGCTGTCGTGTACCTCCTGCTTGCTTTTTATTTCTCTTGATTGCATTTTGACTGAGTCTTAGATGCAATGAAATTGTAGGACGGAATCTTTTCAAGCAACAGAGGCAGTTCTAGTGTGCTCCAATCAGATGCTGCATAACTTATTTTTTACAATAGGCTTTAATTTCCTAAATTTGTGCATTAGAGAAGATCATAACTGGAAAAAAACATGGGAAAAGGTTGATTTTGAGTGGCGGTTGGGAGGAGGCTGTGGCCAGACCCATGGCTACAAATGCCAGAGAGGTGTCAGAGGAGAGCAGTGGAGGCAAATGAGGGACAGAGGAGGACTGGGAGGTGTGACAAGGCTGTGCCCTCAGTGGGGTGAGACACGCTGAAAGTTGTAGCAGAAGCAAAAATGAATCTGAGCCGGGAGGAAAAGTTATTTTAAGAGTAAGGTTTGATAAGTTAATTTAAAGCAGATTTTGTCACTAAAGACTGTTATAAATGCGTTGAATATATGTTTATGTATATACTCAAAGCTACACATTTCTGTAAGTATGCATATTCATGGAATGCATGTATTTATGTAGTTAGATGTAAAGTATGCCCAACAATTGACAGCGTATGTAGAAATACAGATAACTCTTGTTTTAAAACAAATGTTCTTTTTGTGCTTTTACTAGAGCAGTATTTTTGCCTGAAAAATACTTTTTTAAATTCTGTTTAGGCAGTGATGGAAATTCCATTTTTTCCCATAGGTACTTCCTTGTGACAGGATAAAAGTCTTATCTCTGTCTCCCCAGTCTTGAACTTCGGGAGCTGGAGAAGAAGCTGAAATTCGCTTACATGAACAAGGAGCGAGCCGCGCAGATGGCTGAGAAGGCAGCTCTGCAGTATGAGAACATGGTAATCAGCTGCACCCGAGTGCAGGGGCTCATTGTAGGGATAGTGCTGAGCACCTTTCCTTTGCTGCTGAACTTGCTGTTTAAAACAGTGTTCAATGTGGGTACTCGGGGTGTGTTGAAAATGGGGGTTGTGTTAATGAAGGACTGAGTATCAATAACCAGCTATAGAAAAGGTTTGCTTTGTTATTGCAATCAAAGTAGCAGAATAAAGTTATGTGAATGGGGAGAGTTTTTATTTTACTGGCTTTGTAATATTTATCCAAGTTAAAACTGTGGCACAACATGTAGAGCAAATGCTTGTTGTAGTGAATCATTATCTCAGAAGCAGATTTTTGAAAACGTTGTTACTACACATCTATCTGAACAACTTCAGAGAGAATTGTGAACTTGTATTTATGTGTAGAATAACCCTGGTGATCAGGCAGATGATTCTGATTCCACAAATGTTTTATACACAATTCAGTTTACACAGATTGCGCTAAAGACAGGAGTTGACTGAGGATGTTCTGTGGCATTAACCCCCATCCAGTCATTAAGCTGATCATAGTTTTGCTCATACTGAATGCTCTGCTTGGTCTTGTTCAACATGCAGCTTCCTTAAAGTATTATTAGTTCCTTTAAGTTGTTTAGGTATTGAGGGTTCTCTTCAAGGGTTCTGCTAATTGAATTAAGCTTTTAGGCATGTTCAGCACTGCATTTATAGACTGAGGTGGAAAACATTCCTTTTTTTGTAGTGCTATGTAATTTCTTTTTATATTGTGTGTGTTTTCATAACAAGTGGTATTAGTGGGAGTAAAAAGGAATCTTGCATTGCTTTTCTCCCTATAGATACGTGAGGGTGAAATAGCTCAAAAGATGAAGGAAGAGCACGAAAGGGCAATAAGAGAAGAAAGTACTGCAGAACTGAGGCGAAAGGAGGAGAAAATAACATATCACAGAGAACTGGAGAAACAGGTTGAGGAACAAGAGAGGAAGAAGCAGGATGCTTATGAACAGTTTCTAAGAGAGAAACTCATGATTGATGAAATTTTAAGAAAGATCAATGAGGAAGATCAAATGTTAGTTACTTTTAATTTTTATTATTTCCTAATTTGAAGCAAAATAATTCATGTACTTCTGTGTAGAAAACTAATTCTTATACATCTGTTTCATAGACTAAGGCCCATTTTAGTTTTCCTTGGTCACATTTTACCAACAAGAGACTGACTTGTTGGATTTTGCTGGATAAACATCAGAATGTTCCAGCCAGTCTCATGTCCTTGTTCCCCAAACACAAAATCCAGCTGATTTCAAGGTGTGCTTCCACTGGGCCCACTGTGCTGGAAATGGCTGCATGTCAGTGATTTCTGCCTCGCCTCCTGTCCCTGCCTCTGTGAGAGATGCTGTGTGCCTGTCTTATGGACAGGGAGAGGAAAGGAGGTTCCTGAGGGCAGGGTGGTAGCGTCTCTGTGGTGGGGTAGCATTTAGTATAAATAAAAAGTGTAGGAGATGCTGGTGCCATTAGGCTATTGGGCTTCCTCCTGGCTTTGATTTGACAGAGTGTGTATGAAATGCAATAGTAGTGAGTACCCATATGTGCACTGTCCTCCTGAAGAAGGGGGTTAGACATGGGATTCCTTTTTTGGGGCAATTCATAAATACGTATGTTCAATTTAGGTATGTAAATGGGTATGGAGAATCATTAAACCTTAGTCTCTGGAATGTTGTTAGCGATGAGCATATGGTCTGTTTAATGTGAATGCACCATGTTAAATAAACGTTATTTTCCGTCTTCTACAGGGAAAAACAAATGAAGTTAGCTAAAATGAGAGAAACTCAGGCACATATTGAAGAATATAAAAAAGATCAAGCTATCTGGGCGAAAAGGAAGCAGGAAGAGATGGAAGAAGAAAACAGGAAAATTATGGAATTTGCCAACATTCGGCAACAAAGAGAAGAAGACTGGGTTGCTAAAGTTCGAAATGCTGAGGAGAGAAAACAAAGAGTTCAAAGCATGGTACAAAAATTTAAATTGGAGAAATAAGATTCTTGTACATTCTTGTCTTTATTTAGAAATCTTTCCTTCTTGATAGATTGCCCAGAATCTGGAAAAAGAACAACAGAAGCGTGAAGAACTAGAACAAACCCTCCAAGAGCTGTATCTGGAAGAACAAGCGGAGGCAGAAAGGAAGAAGGAGATGGTAAGTGCTGGCAGATAGGTGAAGTAGAACCTGTGCAGTGGGGAGGAAGGGGAACATTTCACTTTTACTGGGCTTCTGCAGGTACATGGATATTGTCGTGCTTGTCAGATACCAGGTTTTTTAATATGCTGTATGTATGTTAATGTGTGCCTGTGCATAAACTGTTAACAGAAAATGCAAGTGGAGAGAGGATTATTGCAGCTTTGCTGTAATTCCTCCAGAACACTGGTCTGGATGAAACTTCTGTAAAATGAAAACAGTGGTTATGCAGGAAAACGTGTAGTTTATGGAACACTTGTAGGTATGGGCAGACAAGTCTAAACAGACCAGATAAAAAATGTAGAGAAAACTTTGAATCGCTGATCTAGAAGATATGTAATGAAGTGAATGCAAGGGCAGTATTTTACATCCCTTCACTTCTTCTGACATCTTTGTGATGGAGCGGCCCTCCTTCAGCTTTTGCACATGTCACTGGAGTTGTGATGTTTTACGAACATTGAGTGAGAGTTTCCCAAAGTATGTTCAGTAGCAGAGCCTTTGATTACATTTCCTTTACAGGCAGAAATAGAAAAGAGACTAAGGCAGCGCCTAGACTTACAGCAAGCATACGAAGAGCAGTTGGCTATGAAGGCGGCTGTGCGACAAGCTATGCAAGAAGAAGAACAAGCCTTCAGACAACAGATGTTGGCCAAGTTGGCAGAGGATGATCGCCTTGACCAGCTGAATGCTCAGAAACGAAGAATGAAACAGCTTGAACACGGAAGGGCTGTGGAAAAACTCATTCAAGACCGTCGCCAACAGTTTGTTGCAGATAAAGTAAGAGTTTTCAAATTCGCGTTAAGTTGAAGCCAAAGGGTTTCAGTGAGGACACTCCTGCTATCTGAAGCAACAAGGCTGTCATTACTAGGGAAAGGTGACACGGGACTTGCAGAGAAATGTGCAGGGGAATCAGGCTTTTGGTTTGGTTTGCTGACAAGTGCAAAAAGTCTTCTTCAAGCTAACTTTTTTTGTAGCTCAAGTCAACAACATCCCTAAAGCCCTGAATACTTGACATGCTCTGCAAATGCCTCTTCAGGAGCCATGGGGTCAGCGGCACAACTAGTGTACTACGCTGATAATGATGCATGAAAAGGGGCAGTCCCAGCCTTGGCTTTAAATTAAGTCTCTTGAATTATCATCTGAGGAGGAAAAGAGTAAACTGAAAACGAGTCACAGAATCCTCTGCTGTGGTTTTTGGACCCATTTGTAGGGTATAAGCCACATGTGCAGTGTGAATTGCGATTTCTACTTAATCAGCGTGAGACTGCATGCCTGTATCTCCTTTTCTTGGGTTAGCACAGAAGGGGAAAAACAGCCTAACTTGTCTGAGAGCCAGGAAGGAACCAAAATTTAACTACCTCGAAAAGGGCTTCCAGTATTGAGACCCCATGCTTACCCAGCAGACCAGCCCTGTGTCTTGCCATTCAGTCTTCTCTTTGACGTTTTTTTCTCATTACCAAATCCATATTGTTTAAACAGTGCTTTGGGGTTAAACTTTTCCACCCTTTTCAAATGAATTTCCTGTGACGAGGAGTTAGTAAGTGGAAGTTCAGAATTAACTCCACTAAAAAACTTTTCTCTTTATACTGTGGTGGATATTGGTGGAAGCAAACGTTCAGAGAGCTGAAACTGCACAGTTGTGAGAACTTCTTTATTGTAGGAGCGGGAACTTGAAGAAAGACAGTTGGAGGCAAAGAGAGAAGAGAAGTTCCAGGCAATTGTTGAAGAAGAGAGACAGAAACTCTTGAAGGAGCACGCATCTAAATTACTGGGTTATCTTCCTCCCGTAAGTGAATTGTATTTTTGATGCTTTAAATATTTGCCCTGTTTAAGGTGAAGTTGCAGAGCTGTGAATTCGTGGAGTTGGTGGGTGTCCTTTATTGTGTCAGCTCTCCTGAGCTCACCCTTTCCTTTTTTCTTTCTTTTTTCTATTTGATTTGGGAAGCAATTTACCAAAATACTCTTTCTGTACAAGGGGCTTTGGGCTCTACTGCAATGCGGATGCCTTGTACAGAGCTTGCTGAAAGCTCCTACAGTGTTTTGCATGTCCAGTTTTTGGAGTACGGCATGTAAGTTCTAGAGCAGGGCTCTGCTAGCTGGAAAGGAGTCTGCTGTATCTTAAACCCCATTTCCACCATGCTTCTCAGTTGAGGTCTGGGGAGCAATTTCTTACAGCGTTGGCTTCTCCTCTGAGTCTTCTGCTCCCAAAGGAACAAGGCATGGGCTCTGCTGTGTTTCAAAGCTCACTGCATCCATGCATCCATGTTTTTGTTAGAGTTAAAAAGATGGTAGCAGTCACTGTAATAGGAACAAACTACAATTTATTTTGTATTAAACTTCATAATTGGAAGGATCACCTGGTGGAACACAAATGAACAAGTAGCTGCTGTAGGGATCTGGAAATGCATTTACATTTCTTCCTCTTTAAAGAAATTCTTCAATACTGGAAAGCATTGTGGAGTGTAATTTTTATTCAAATATTAATAGACTGGTTTGGTCATGAATTTGTAAAATTTGAGTTATTTTCTAATGTAGCTTTAGTAAAAGATAACCGTAATTGGCAATATTCTGGTATAGTTTTCTGGTTTGAATTTGTTGCGGTAGGAAGTCTTGGTGATGTCAGTGTCTATGGCGCATGCCTGCTCTATGATATTGATGTTCTGCTTTGTTCTTTCCTCTGCTTCAACACTGTGTCTGAATCCTGTTGTGGTACATCATGTTACTTTGCTCAAAATGGTTAAATAGAAAAGTGCTAATTCTAAAGTCTCCAATATAAATGCAATTTGTAGTTTATTTTTTTCCTTAAGTGTTGCCTTAAAGGTGTTCTGTTTAGCCCTAAAATTAATTTAGAATTAGAGATCCTGATTTCCAGGTTCCCTTGCTTCCCTTCCTCAAAACATAGCTTCTGATGAAGTTGTTCAGCATCAGTTGATACCCAGAATGATATCTTTCTATGGGCTAGTTCATTACAACTAAAGGTGGAGACAGAGCCTTGTCCCAGCCAGAGCCTCTCCTCTTGATTTCACTGACCTGTGCTGTGCCGACTATGAACGCTTCCATTAAGAGAATGCAGATGAATGTTGTCTTTTGTGCATTGCTCATGCTGGAATCTCTACGCAGTTCTTGCCATCGTTTGTGTGAAGAATGAAGAGGCAGTTCTAGGTCAGCACCCCACACACCTGTTTGAATTTAAACTCATCTGTGAAGTTTTGTGACAGTTCTCAGGGCTGTTTGTTTCAAAGGCGACCCCAGAACCAGGGTACAAACGGTGGCACTCTCTTCCCTAGAAAATTTCAGAGATCTGTGTTTTACTTTCCAGCGTGTGTTTCACCTTCCAATGTGCGTTTCTTTCCCCTTACTGCAGGGAATACTCAGAGATGAAGGTGACATCAGTATGCTTGGAGAAGATTTTAGACTGGCGTATCAGAAGAGAAGAGGCAATGCACTTCCACAAGAGGGCTGAAACTTCCCCCATCTCATCTCCGGGTTTGCCACTAGGTGTCACCTGATTTCTAATGAAAACTTCCCTTTGCTGTTAACATTGAGGAACTCCTTTTTAACATCATAACAAGTCTCCATTTTAAGACTGGAGCTCTAAACTGACGAGCATTTAGCTCTGCACTTTCCATCAATAAACTGTTACAGAGTGCTAAGGGAGTCTTAGTCAGTGCTATAGCAATACTAAAAATGTTTTCTCCAGCAGGTCTGCAGAAACCTAAGCTAGTGCAAATTCACATAAGGTTCTATTAATGTACTATTTCTGTTTGTAACTTAGAAGATTTATCTACACTGGCATGATGCTATTAAAAAATGCTGTTGAAATACTCATCTAGATGTAGCTACATCTCAGAGGGGTGTATCTGAGTTAGTTGTTTCACTGTTAGGTCCTGTTACTTTGCTGGTAGGATCTACGCAGAGACATTTTTCTGTTTTGAGGTCAGAACCACCATTTGTACCTTTCTTTCAGTGCATAAACCTACTGTTCATCTGGCACGTTCCTGTTCAGTTACTCTGAGGGAGGAATCTGCTAAAATAGCTGAGACTTGGCCAAAGCTTATTCAAGCAGCACCATCTTTTCTTGTTCCTGTGCATTAATGCTCACATGATATTCTTAGCTCATCTGCACTTAAATTTTTATCTAGTTCTTAATCATAATGATGGCACAATGAAATCTTTTGCTTGCGGAGCACCTTGAACACTCCTGACTGCATCCCAAAGCAGCAGCTGCTGGTCAGGGGGAGATTTAAGATTTTCAGATTGACTCAAGTGTCAGCTCTACAGAACAGGACTGCAGCAGGTTCTGCAGCCTGTCTGGGGAGCGAGGGGCAGTCTCATGGGTGGTTTTGCCAGCCAGGGTGCAAGATGTATCAGCTAAAACAAGTTATGGTCATTTCTATAAAAGAGCTGGTGGTGCTTAAATTAGATGCCAGACCAACCAGCTCTGAGGGGGGATCTGTTACAGAGAACAGACAAGGCCAATTTTCCAACCACGTGTTTTAAAAAGGACATGACATTTTCTTCTCAACTGGATCAGCCGGTAATTTATTTCTGTTCCAACAAGGAATTTTCTGAGACTAAACCCTGACTTCTTTGGACAGAATATTACCTTAGCTAAGGTACAGTTTAAAATGCTAAAACAGAGCAAACTGATGACAAAGTTCAGATACTGGAATATTCCTTGTGCAGCCTGTTCTTTTCCACTCATTACAGAATGGAGAGTAGAGGTTTGTATTTCATGTGATAATACAACACAAGCTATCAGTCTTACAGGAATTAAACAAGTCAAACATTAAATCAACAAGCTCAATTCACTGGGATATACAGGTAGTAACAATTAACAAGCATTCCTATATGGTGCCAAAATACTGTACCATCCAACTTGTATTTCAAACAGAAGTTGTGTTTTTATGGAATCAGTGATTTCCCCACTCAAGAGCTTTCATGAATTCCTCTTCAGTAAAAGAAAGCATCTTAGCAGCTTCAATGTGCATCTTAAAAGGAAAAAAAGAAAATAAACTTAGGAGCAGAAGGTAAAACAGCGTGAGTGACCGATACAAAATCCTGCCTAACAGCTGAAAGGGGACCCCAGTCAGTCATTCCTTTTGGTTTTGTACTATGGTTTGGGTGGATGTGCCCCTGTTCCAGCTGAAGCTGCTACTCGTACTTTTCCTGCCAAAATTTATAGTGTAGGGATAATGTGATATATTTTATGCTAAACCTTGCACCTGCAGCTCTAGTAAAACAGGACCAACAGCCCTTCCTAGTTCCTTGTAGTGCTTTACAAATACCTCTTTTAGTGAGGCATTGGAGATTCCTGAAAATCTGCCAGCTCCTGTGACCTCTGAAGAACACGTGTAAGAAAACTGGTATATGCTCTTTCAAGCTGATTGATACACAGCTGCACTTTAGAACTATTACAAATCAAATTACAAATAAGATTCAGTGTGCTAGTGCTTCTGATATGCATGAGTGAATGTTAACTGAGGATTTTAACAAAATACCACCATTAAAAATTAGCCATCAGCATAAACCAAAGAGTAACTGTACTGCACCTTAACAGGAAATGCCTGGAACTGACCACTGGTGGCTGTGTTGCCACATATCACACCATACACCTGTGATCCATTATGCACCCACACACACGTGCATATGTACATGTTTTAAAATCATTCAGTAGTCTGATTTTTATTTCTACTACACAGAATATACCACATGAAAAGCAAACTGAAAAGAACAAACAGAACTTTTAAACTCAGAACAAATTATTTCCTGTTCAAATAATGCAATTGGTTGGAGAAACATTGCCAAGATCATTGTTTGATGAGAAAACAAGTACTAAACAGGCAGTGTATTTGCACAGAACTGCCAGTCAAAAAGGCACAACAGTCAGGAAGCCCTGAAAGCTCCCTGGGCTCCATTCACCTGATGTCACAGCAGAGGCCATACATCCTCAGCACCACACTGCTGCATCAGCTCTTTACCTGGGAAAGTGTCCCAGTTAAATAGTTTTTACTGCGAATTTTACCAAAATGGTTATATTTTGAAGAACAGGAAACAATTCATATCTCCAAACAGTCTGTTATATTGGGGTTTGGGCTGGGGATTTTTTTTTTTTACATACATAGTCTAATGTATAGACCTATTGTCAGTTCAAAAGGACAACAATGAGTATTACTGTTCCCATGGGCAGCGTAATATGCTCCAGCTCTGTAAAGCTCTGACTAACTTCCCTTAACCCCTTTTAAAACCAAGACTTCCTATTAAATTCTCAAGACAATCAGAGAGTGGTCTGCAGAGACCACCTGGAGCACCCACAGCTCCCTGCTGCCAGCTGCTGCTCATCCTACTGCTGCTACTTAACACCTTTTGAGGATTTTTCCCTCTTGCCATTCTTCTTCTCCTCACCTTTAGGCTCGATGTATCTGCCACACAAACACTGCACAAAAGGCCCAAATCAGCTTTTCCTCATTAATTGAACAAAAGGCTTGTGTGAAGCAGATTCGAAATTCTCTGGGTAGTTACACAGGTAGAGCACATGGGAGCTTCAGCAGAGCTCCTCCCCTGTGCCTGCTGCCAGAAGGTACAGGAAGCAGAGTTAGCACCATTCTCTTTCAGGTTCTTCAGTCATAGCCTGGTCTGAAAGGGCAACTAACAACATCCTTCTGTGAGTAAATGACAATTTTTGTAAGAAAAGGTAAGCGGCTTCCTCTACTTTCTGCTGTTCTGATACAGTATGTGTAATTTTTTTTTTTAAATATATTTAATGAAGTTTTGTGGTGTTGATCCGAGACTGTGGTTTTGGTTCATGGTCAAACAAGCTCTGCTTTTTGACACCCATTTCACTGAATTCATGTTCTGTAGGATACTGTGCTACCTCACCCCCAGAGCAGATTTTGAGGGAGTTCTCAAACACAAAGAGCTAGAAGGGCTGGCCAAAAACTAAGCTAGCACGATTTTTGTTAGATGAATCCCCAAGATCTCCTCTGCATCCTACTGCTGTCAGAAAAGTTCCACTGGAAATACAAGAGCAGCCCCAGTTTCTCTTGTTCCAGTTACCTCCCCTCCCTCATCCTGTGTTGGAGAGGCGTTCCATCTTCAAGGGTATATTTCCATACTGCAGTTCCCATTCTTAGGATAAGTATGTGTATTTTGTTACATGAAGTTGCTACTTCATACAGAACTATTCTTCCTTGGTGGGGGCTCAACAACTTCCAGAGTGTTTACAAAATGTCTGGTGATCACTGCAGTGCTCAAAGGGTAAATAAAATGTTCAGTTTTCTTATCGCAGAGGCTGGCACTTCTAAGGTGCTTCTGCTCAACAAGTCACCAGACATTGCTGTATTAATTCTCCATCTGCTTTGTTTTGAGAGTGCAGAAAGAAGAGCTGTTAACTCCACCCCAAAATGAATCTTCTTATATTCAACAGAGTAAGCAATTAGCAGTGAACTACTCTGCAGTGTTCAGATCTTGTGCAGTCAGTTGTGAAGCCTCTATCTCTGCATGTGTCTTGTTCAGCCTCAAAGGGAAAAGCTGACAAAAATGACAGCATACAATCCCAAGTATTGGGTAAGTGAAAGGTGTGATGGAACTAGTAAGGCCTAACTGCATCAGTAAGTGGAAAACTGATTTGGGCAATATGTATAGTATGCATTCCCCTCAGTTTAATTTTCTTTCATGTAAACTCATAGGTTCTTTCAATTCGTATCATCAAAGCACATTTGACAGGTCTATGCTGAAAATGTATTTTGAGAAATACAAGGTACTTACCCACTCTGTAGCATCCCAGATTTCCTTTTCCAAGTAAAACACCCCTCCTTTTTGGGACATCAGTATAGCTTTATTGAATGTGATAGTAAAGACCTCTTTACCTATATTCTAGCTGAAGTATTAATCCACTTTTTGCTGAAACACCTTTTCTATGAAAGCCATATCACTGATTGTTCAGCATGAATTGTCAGCAAGTATTCTACTGCCTATCTTCTTTCTAATTGCAGCTTCAGCTGCTAAAGAAACTGAAAGGCATTCACCCCTGCCCTCTTATGCTCTGAGGAGAGGGATGGAGTGAGATATGAATGTAGACTCAAACACTTTTCAAAATAAGGCTAGCTGCAAGTCAGGGTGGATGGGAACAGATATGCAGCCATGTAGATGTTACTACATCCTCTGTGATTCAAAGTATGCATGATATTCCAGGGACTACAAAAGGAGATCAAATCCCCTCGTCCAGTCTACTAAATCCACACCTGGTATGTAAGTACACTCTACTCTCACCTTTTTCTTTTTCGTCTGACACACAAGGAGATCTGCACCTGGGCAGAGTTGTACATGCACAGAATGTCTCAGAATATAAATAAACAGTGTTGATAGAGAAGGACACACTTTGAGGACCCAGGAAGAATGTAGGTCTAAAATGTAACAGCTCACTCCTGAGAGGGCACGCTGTTACAGCTGCTGCTATGACAAGTAATACGCTGGGGGGGGAGGGAGGAACTAAAAAGAAAATCTCAATGGCTAAAATGGATTCTACTGACACAGCAGCAAAGGGAGCTGCTGGTATTACCTGCACGGTATTTGTTCTGGGACAAACAGATACTCTCAGTCCTAAAATTTGTCAGTAGTAATTTTTCACCATGACAGGATATGCTTCAAGT